TTACATTTAAGTATTCAATATAGCATATATTTAATAATAATAAACAAATTAAGTTTTAGTGATACAGTATGATCTATTATCAAATAACTAATAATATTTTCTTTCAAATATCTTAGATGAGCAATATCTTTGATAGTTAAAATAAGCGTAATAAATCTTAATACTAACAATCTATACATAAAACGAGTAGTGAAGATTTTGTTTTTAGAAATGAAAATATATTGAATTTGTTTCTGATTTATTAGCCAAACAACTTATGTGAATAGAAATCCGTATTCAGTTTTGATGATGTAGGTAGTGAGTACATTTTTTCTAGGTAATTTCACAATGGTTTTTGATAAATATGACTATTGTGATCAATAATTACGTATTTCCTTAAAATTAAATCCGACACAACAAAATATTTATAACGGCGCTTCTTGAGAAAGCTTTCGTAAAAGCCATTTTAATACTAGTCTCTAATAATATACATAAAACATTTATTTTATATATTTAAACATTAATCACGTTTATTCACTTGCAAACGCTTAAAGTAAATTTTATTTAACTAAATACATTTCATAGTACAAATTTTTTTTTTAATGCTATGTGCGCTATTACGCACGGTTTTAAACAATGTCCATTATTTTCAATCATATCCTATTTAAAAAGCGTATATTGATTTTTTAAAACACATCATAATCAATGGAAATGTCTTACAATATAGAATAACTTGCACTTCATTTATATAAGCTGTGGATACAAGCTATTCGAATAATAAAAATTTAAAACATTGTAACATCACTATTATTATTTTTCCTACGAGTATTTAATGTCTTAATATGTGTTTGTTTTACTTAAGTGGTTTGCTGTTTAAATTTGGAATGAGATGAGTTATGATTTCTAGTTATGCTTTCTTCATCTATTGAATGGATAGACGATTTTGTATAATATTTTACTCATATAAGTATATGAGAGCTGAACTAGAAACTTTATTGCGGCCTACTATGTCAGAACACCGACAAAATAATTTGTTAGTCCAAAATTCACCCTCGATCCTATTCATCAGCATTCCAATCAATTTCACCAGCATTGTCACCCATCGCCAAGATCTGCTTTTAATCACTTTGATATAACTGTTATGATCAATCTTCTTTTTAATATCTTTGGTTTAAATTTTGGTTAAATTTTTTTTGATCCTGTCAGCATAACCGAAAATTGCAGAACATTTTAGCAATTCTATTAAAATTTTGGACCATTAACTAGGATGGATTTGTGTTTGTGGCGTTGTTGATCTCAATACCAAGTTGTTTGTAAACTATCTCCCGTTTCTTTGTGAGAGCTTGTTTCATTTCTGCTGAATATGGATCAAAATTGTTTAATTTTTTGCTTCTTCGGTAAATACCTTCTTTTCGAGACACTGCACAAGACAGTAAAGACTGCAATAAAAAGTTAAAAATATTAATGAGTTAGCTAACTTACATTTTATATTCAAAACTATTTTGTATATAATTAATGTTACTTACTTCATCTATTGGATATTCCAGAAACTGAAGTAATTTTCGCAATGTGCCTTCAACATTTTCTACTAGTTTTTCGAAGTGTACTATTTCAACCGGCCCTGTGAAATTTTTGCCCCAATCTAAATTCGTTTGTTCCCATGTCCATAATTTGTCAGTGACGAATTGCTGCCAATCTAATCAAATGTAATTAATTTTTTATCAATTATAGTTAGATTTTTTAATGATTTGTGCTTGTTTTTGTTACTAACATTTCCCTTTTGCTCGCTTGTATCGTCCTATTGAGGCAAATCCTATATGTCCGCCACTTTGTCTATTAAATTCCGCCTGGAAAAAGAAAAACGGAATAATTATGAATAATCCCAAGTACATATATTTTACGAATTACAAAGAAGTGCCGTTATAATTGGCTTGTAATTATAATCATAATATATATTAAAGTCATTCAAACATAAGCCATAAATAAATTAACATGTTTATTAACTTCCCGAAGGAGAAGTTTGTTTTCATCAAAAAATCCGATTTGCTAATTTTGTTTTCCCGACGTTTCAAGCCATTCTGAATCGAATGAGACCAAGTTTGGAAAAATTATGTTTATGTGTGTGTGAACAGATTTTTTTGCCGTAAATCGACGTTTTCTCAAAAACGGCTGGCCCGATTTCAAACTTTTAAAAGCCATTTTAAAAGATGTATCTTGATGAGGACTATCGTTTGTCAGTGAGACGACCTACCAAGCCGTTTCTTTGTAATTTGGAAACAAGTGTTAAACTTTTCGTCCACATTTAAGCTCATACTACCGAATCGATTTTAAAAAATCAAAAACTGTTCGAACGGTATCAGTTGGGAATTACACTGATTAGTTTTAGGCGAAAATTCACTGAGAAGTTTTTTTGTAATTAACTGTTGAAATAAAATTTAATCCGATTTTTATGGAACTTTTTTTGGCGATACATATTTTGGTCTTATAGAACTTACTGAAATATTACGGCCTTACGATAAGTAGTCAAAATTCATCAAAGTTTGAGAAAATGAGTAGTTTTTTGTGACGTTTGTTAAAATTAAAATTAGACGATTTACTTGGTATAACGATAGAGTACTTGGTCTTAATAAACATACTAAGTCATTAAATTCCTATGGAAACTGGTTCAATTATAAAAATGATTGATTTGTGAAAATTGCTTTCAAAAAATACTCCGAGTTAATGTGTTAGTTCGTTTTCAATTATGTGTAATAAATCCACTCGGAATACTTTTAATTATTTTTAAATTAATTTATTTTTTATTTATCAAGTCCATTATTTACACATATCTGGAAGTTCATGTAACTTGCCTCAAGGCAAAATACCAATACCAACTAGCTAGTTACCAATAATAACTAGTTATTATTATTTATTTGTTACTTACTAAAATTGCATCGGCTGGTGATCGTACTAAAAGTATCGCTTTAGAAAATTGACTTCTAGCGTCGTTGCCCCATTCGTGTGTCTTTACAACTAAAACGGAATTATTTTTCACTTGCTCAGCAGGAAAACCACTTTTCATTAGGCCGTGGTCTTTATATACTGAACCAGTTAAAATTCCTATAATAAAACAAAAGTAGTATTAGTAGAAGTTTTGTTTTGAATTCTTTCAGAAAATCTTAATTGAAAATCTAAAATATTTTTTATTAAATATCATATCAACACATAAGCAAGCATCTCTTTGCTATGAATTAAATGATTGGTTTTTGTGTTTTTTTCTTAATAAATTTCTTATATAACTATTACAAGTGTTAAGTTTATTAGCGTTTTGGCCCTGGTTTGATGCAATGAATGATCACATTAAGTGCTGAAACGTATAAATAATGAATAATGTTTCTCTTTTAACCCTTCTTTTTTAATTCGACGAATAGACTTCTTGAAGAAGTTCATTTCCGCCAGAAAATCCGATTAGCTAATTTTGTTTTCATTTTGCTTTTTTGTGTCATTTGTCACCAAAATTGGGAAACGACTTAACCGATTTCAATATTTCGAAAGCGATTCGATGAAATGTGGGACGATTGGCCAAAAATTTTTTTTTAGAATTATCAAAAAAAGCTAAATTGTTTGTTCACGTTTTTGCCAAAAATCCTGAACCGATTTTGAAAATTCAAAATCTGTTTGAAAGATATCAGCCGAGAGGGTTTTGATTAGATTTTGGGTTCTTTTAAATTAATTATTTATATTTTTTTGTCAATTTTGATGAATTTTTATTAACTTCCCGTAGGGTAAGTTATTGTAATGGGCCGAAAATCGGAATTGAAAATTTTTACATTTCTCGACGTTTTGAAGGTTTCTGAACGTTTTGGCATACTTCAGAAAAAATGGATGTGTGTGTGTGTGTGTGTGTGTGTGTGTGTGTATGTATGTATGGATACAAATTTTCGTCCACGTTTTCGGGCGTACGGATCAACCGATTTGAATGGTTTAAAAAACATTCGATTCCTATTGATAGGGAAAAGAGCTGATTAGTTTTTGGCGAAGGCAGGTCCAGCCGTTTCGGAGATACGGAGCAAAGAGTGCAGAAAATAGAAATCGAGTTTTTGAGTGAACGGAGCATCCGATTTGAATGATCTAAAAAACATTCAATTAGTAATGATTGGGAGAAGGGGTTATTAGTTTTTCGCAAAGGCAGGCCCAGCCATTTCGGAGATACAGAGCTAAATGTACAAAAAATGGCAGTTTTTGAGAGAACTAAGCGTCCGATTCAATTGATTCAAAGAACTTTCTGCTTGTCTTAACAAAATAATTGATTTTGGTAAAAAAAATTTTTGTTCCATTTTTTTTTTTTTTTTAATTTTTTTTTTGTATATCGAAAATAATTCAGATTTTATTTTTAATTCTGACTATAGTTTTAATATACTTTAAACAAATAATTTCAACTCTGCAATTCAGTTGATATAATTCTTATAAATATTAGACAATGTTACAATATTTATAATAATCTATTTGAAAACATTCAATATTCCTCGAACATTTCGTTACGGTACGGGAAGTTCAAGCAATTTGCCTTAAGGCACGATGCCACCCACCCGACTAGTTATATTTGAAACGCGAAATATATATTATATATATATGTAAGAAGTATGTGTGCATTTCTAAGTTCATGAATGTGTGTGTCATATATACGCATATGTGTGTAGTATGTGTTAATATTTACAAATATGCTTGTATGTATTTATTTATGTGTGTAAAAAAGGGCACTTCCACGCCATTTTTTTCAAAAATTATTTAATTATTACGAAATATTACGTAATCCACATTACATAAAATAGGCGAAATTATTACATATTTCTTACATTAATCTTACGTAAAAATGACGTAAATATGAAACTTTTTTGCGCAAAAATTACGTAAATATTACGGATTTTAGCTTAGTGGTGGAAAGCTTTATTTTTGAAATTAACAGTTCAAAATTTAATTGTTATTTTAAAACTTTCTAAATTTCATTTTTTTATGGATTAAATCTATTATCTATATATATATATATCGGGAATTTTAACAAGAGACAAACCGCTTGAAATAAATCTAGAGTATTTATTGATAAACAAGCCGAAATCAAAATAATAAATACCATTTCAGGATTAATTTGATTTGTTTAATTTGTTCTTGATAAATTCTAGTTTATTCATTCAAAATATTTTTTTGTAGGCTCGATACATTTTTGGCGATTCAATAGCATTTCAAAAGACCATTCAAAAAAACGTTAACTTAGCTTCTTCACAACTGCAAAACCATGATATTATTTAAAAAAAAAACATACATATACCGATTCTAATAAAATTTACTCGAAACATTCGATTTGCTATCGATTTTATATAAAAGAGTGTTTCTGTATTATTGTCAGAATTCTCCCTTACCAGTGGCTTGTTGTAGCAAATAACGCATCCATGTATTTCCGCTGCCCGGAAATGATACAAGAGCTACTGGTTTCTCACTATTATTGACTGGATTCGTACTTGAAGAAGAACTACTTGAAAATTGTCCTGAAAATAGTCCATTAGAGACTGGAGATGGTTGTTGCTTATATTTTAGGTGTGTACACCATCGTAAACGAGGTCTCCGAAATAAGCCACCCGTACTGCGACCTCGATCTGCTCCTATGTTTCTTATCTGAAAAAATAAAAATAAAAATTATTCTAATGAATACTTGATTTAATTGAATTAGATATTGTGTCTCATGTCATAATGTAATAGTCCTCCGAAGGGGTTTGGTAGATTTTTATGAAATTTTATAATCACGTTTAGTATGACTGAGAATCGCATATCTATTGCTCATATCCCTAAGTGGTAAGGGTTGGCCGCCTTCAAGTTTTTTTAAATTTTTTTGACCCATTTGTTTCATTTTACTTATTTATAATTTGTAATAAAAAAGCACATACAACACTAAATATGCACCCTCCTACAGCACCTTTATTTTGTAAGTCATTTTAGTAATCGAATGGTTTTTAATCTCGCATTTATTGAATGAATGTTTTTCACTGAATTTTGATTAAAATTTTCCTTAGAATTATGCAACATCTCCAAATCAACTTCAAAAAAACTTGCAATGATTATCAATATGCTCCAAGAATATTTATATGTAACATGCGTTGCAGTGGGTAAATCATCCATATAATTTGTTTATTTTTATACTAAAATTTTTTAAAATTGCTTTTTGGCCAAACAACGGTCATACACACACACACACACACACACACACACACACACGCACACACACACATATATATATATATATATATATATATATATATATATATAATATCAATTAATGAATTTCAATTAATTTATCAATTTTTATTAATTTATTTTCATATTAATTTATTAAATCATTACTTAAGATTTTACTCATTGGAATGATTTTTATTTGATATTGTGTAGGTTCTTATTGAAGAAATTAGACACAAAAGAGTATTTTTTGGCAAAGGTTTTGGATTAATCCTAATGGATCTGGCTTTTTTTCTGGATATAGATTGTGAATCAAAATTATGGGTTTCGAATAATTTGCTCCGAATAACCTGCAAACACATTACTTTATTTTGAAGGTAAAAAAATGTTACCATTATATATACATTATATATATATATATATATATATATATATATATATACATTGCATTACAATTCTTACAATTTTTCAGTATTCAATTAACAACTATATATATACTAGCTGACCCGGCAAACATTGTTTTGCAAAGTAAGGCATATTCGCACGGCAATTATATAGACATTTTCACTGCTAATAAACAACCATAAGATAGCGTTGCCATGACAACGCTATGTTATGGGCTCTGTTATGGCAGAATTGCCCTATAAGTAAATTCAGTTCATGTTTGTACTATTCGTCTACTTATGGTGCATGCATAATTATTTGATAATATATTATGATATTGAATCTTACTGCATTTGGTTCAATGTCCCTCTCTCTTTCTCGATATGTGGAAAGACTGAGTAGTAATACTCCGGCTAAATAAAAAGCTACCATGACGGCTAAAGCCGCCACACGCATTCTGCCTAGGCGCGCCAGCATCCTCTATCAACTGAAATTATTCAAATTATTTATTAGTTAAATAAAAAATATATTTTGTATTTGATATAAAACAATATTAAAATAAGATTTACTATTTATACAATAAAAATATTTACAAAAAAATCTGGATGATGACACACATACCGTGTCGAAACGTATAAATAAACAGATCATTATTTATTATTCTACGATTGGCTGCAAATTAACATTCAAGAATATGTCTCATCGTCGCTATATATATAGCTATTGATTATCGTTGATATCTACACTTGAATAAAAAATTCATTTGTAGAATACGAAATAGATGAAAAAACGTGTTAAACAAATTAAATACAGTTTCAGATACTATAAATATGCTTGAAAGACATGAATTGAAAATCGTATTGACTATTTTTTAGTGAAAGCGAAAATGTTTACGAAATAAACATAATTACCTAAATAGTTGAATCTCATTTCTTATTGATTAAGTCGATTATGTATAGGTTTCGGGAAGTTAATGCAACTTGCCTTAAGGAAAAATACTACTTACAACTAGTTATTTTTATACTTTTGACAACAGTCAAAACTTAACGATTTCTATGAGTTATTGTGCCGACTGTTTTTTTTATATAAATGGCAACCCAAAATGTTATTATATCTTAATGATGAATTTATTATTACAATTTTCTATTGGTGCCAGTAGGGGTTATTTTTACTTGGTAACATATTGCTATCTTTGATTTTGAGCCCATAGTTTAAGCTACTAGGCCAAAGAAATAATTCGACTACAGTATTAATTTTTATACAAACATGTTACAAGTTTGTAGAATTTTGTCCAGAAACAATGTTTAGAATGAGAACCACTAGTAATATTGATTATCAGTAACAGGTAGTTTGATAAGTTACTATATTCTCATAGGATGAATGGGACAATTCAATAGACCAATGCTACGGCAAGGCTATGTTACGTAGCAGTTTTTATATAAAGTGGTACTAAAAACTTGTGCAGTCAGGCGTTTTTACACATAAAATGCAACTTCACTCGTATGTTAATATATCGCAATGCAAAGATGCAGATATGATACCATTGTGTTTTTGGCGTTGTGCGTTTTCCTACGTTAGGTTTTCTTTTTAAAACGCCTGACTGCACAGCAACCACATATCATTTTGACAGTTTTTAGTAACATAGCCTTCCCATAACATTGGTCTATTTTACGGCACAATCGGCCCATGAATGTTAAAACGTTAAGATTCCATCTTCATATGCGACAAGCACTTCAATATTCTCTTTTTTTATTATGATAAAAGTATTGTATGCAATTTATGCTAAACTTATGTGCCTCGTAACAAGATTTTTAAACTTAAAACGAATATACTTCTCATTTGGTATTCTGGTCGGAAGCGTTTCGCGACTTTGATAACAACCCTTTTGGAGCATTATGCATACCCCTATGGTGTGATTAACATATTTTTCTCATTTCCTGCAACGACGGACGTGGCGAGCATTTTAAAAAGAATCTAGGTTAAATCTCAAATAAAGCGGTTCTACATATCCGGGAATGCACTACACCCCTAGAAAGGAAAAAGGATTAGTTTGGCTACTGTTATTATATTCTAGCCTAATAAGTTTTCAGTCCTTCTTATAAAATTTCATCACAATCTGTTCACTTTGCTATTAACTTCCGATTGCTAATTTTATATTCTATTAAATCTGATTTGCTAATTTTTTGTTTCATCGAATGGGACCAAATTTGGAAAAACTATGTGTATATGTGAGCCGATTTTCACCTTTCGTCGACGTTTTCTTACAAACAGCTGGACCGATTTCAAAAATTTAAAAGCCATTTGATGATCTTTCTTTGAAAGGACTGTCGTTGGTCAGGTTTTCGCTACGATCGGTCGAGCCGTTTCTTTGTAATTAGCAGAAAACTGTAAAATTTTTCGTCCACGTTTTAGCCCACAATTTTGAACCGATTTTGAAAATTCAAAAACCAATAAAAAATATTAGTTGGGAATTGTGTTGATTAGTGAAATGCATGAAATAATATACTAAAATATTATAGGCCATACGGTTGAATTATAAAAAAATCCATCAAAATTTTCTAATGAATCTAATCAGAATCTATGCAGAAGCGCCCTGTGTTTCGCCATTGATTACAGTTTGCGTCTACATTTAAATAAAATAAATTTTTAAGACCAAATTAATTTATTTATTCAATTACTTTCAGATATTTAGGTAAATTGTACAAATGTTTATATCGAAAAAAAAATTGCTTTAACTAAAAAAATAAATAAATACGAAAACCAATTAATGTTTTTTAATTATATCCGTAATTATGTAAATTAAATAACTTTTTTAGTACTTTTTATTTCATTCTGCTTCATGTCCTAAAAAATTACCCCCCTTCCCCACCAAACATCACGTGTATTTTCAGTTACGAAAAATTTTTCGAACGAATTTTTCGAATTTACGAAAAAAGTCTTAATTTTTTATAGTTTTTTCGTAAAAGTTTGGATTTTATTTAAGAGTGGATGACATCAACGCTAATCAGTAGTAATTACATACGTAACGGTATACGATTGGCGCTGTTATGGTAAAAAAGGGTATGGTTGTTCGATTCGTTTAGACTCGTATTTGCTTCTGGCTGTATTTTCTCAAACGATTTGGCTTCAAAATTTTGTTTTCATGGCATCGTTTTTCTAGTACAAATTTTAATTTCGAAAAATTGTAAAAATCAAACCAAACTACAAACAACACATATCAAACAAACAACTATCGGAATATGTTCATTAAAACTCACAGGTAATTCACCATTGTAGAAATGTTTTTTGTTGTTTTTCAAAAATTTGTCACCTGGTCTTTTTTAACCATAGGCGGGGTGATATGGGACGTTTATCTCCTGATAGCGACCTCGTAAGGATCAAGATGATGGCTGGTTATACATCTTTATCTCTCTACTTTCAAATATTGTTACTAACAATAAGAAAATCCTAACTACAGGGGTGTCCATTAATCACGTGAACGAGTTTTTAGAGTTTTTGGATCCCCCTTTCCCCTTGGTGATACGTCGTGATATTTAAAATTCACCCTACTCACCCACCAAACATCACGCGTATTTCTGGTTAGGTAAAATTTTTGAAGGAATTTTTCGAATTTACGAAAAAACGTAAAAGTTTTGATTTTTTTTGAAAATGTTTGGACTTTTCAAAACTTCAGGTAAAAATTAAATATACGTGATATCTTACTAGACCGCTCCCTCCCCCACGTGATGCTTCGTAATTTTTTGCCAAACCCTCCCTCCTCCTAAAAGCCTCACATGATTAATGGACCCTTTGTTTGTTTTTATGATGTCGGTGATGGATCTTTTTACCCGCGGACCTTCAAGCCCCGCTTTACCCTATGTTTAAGAAATAAGAAAATACTTAATGAAAGTGAATTTTCGGACTTAAGCCTTGTACACAAAGCATTAAAGTAAACATCAATTAACCTCAATTATAAAAACTGGGTTAATTATTAAACAAACGTTCCCCGTCCGCGTCCCGCAAGTGTAACCCTGCAACCCCGCCCTTATGAGAAAGGGGTCGGGCAAATATTGTAAGCTTATAATCTCGGCGCGCGATTTAATTTATTTCCTGGAGTCATGACGCCACGAGTCTCTCCATTAAGAATCGCGTGTTCCCCGATGCTAATTCCATTATATAAATAGTTGCCCCTCGTACCCCTTGGGCGAAATCCCTTTCTAGTACGAATGCTGCTAGTTGTTCGTGTTAAAGTTAAATATGTGACCATAACTGGAAAGGTCTCGACAAGATTTATTTTTGCAATATAGATGGGCAATCGAACTTAATTATTGGCTTTGCACCAAAGTACTTGCAAGAGTAAGGGAGACTGGGTACGGTTGTGTCACTTTTTATTTGGTCAGCCGTAATTTTGTTAATTTGCCAGTTAGCTGGGAGAGAAGTGAATTGAATGGTAATTTAATTGAACATTTGTCTACGTGGAAATACTGAAATACTGTCTTTAAATACGATGGATTAGTTATAAAATCAATTCATACAAGAAAAGGATGAGTGTCACAACCAGCGACACTCCCAGGATGGTTGTGACAGGCATAAAATTCGGTTGAAAAGCAATGGCTATAAACATCAAAATGGTTTCTAAGGACTTTTATTGCCAGATTAATGTAACACAACTCAAAGTAATCATTTAAACAAAGATTATGAATATAATATATCAATATATAACAAAACATATATTTTTAAACAAATTTAACAACAAATCTTTAGTTTTTTTGTTTTGAATTTTTCTTTCCTATTTTCTTTTGTATTTTGTCTTAGTTAAGTTAGATTTTAGAATTAGTACGAATTTTACAATCGTACCCCAAAATTTGTCGTTTGTCGTACACACTGCACACTTTTGAAAACAAGTCATTATTATGACTGATTACCAGCAAAAACTAATTGCTGGTGAATAACTACTAATGTTCAACTTACACCAAATAACAAACAAAGTGATCTATCTGTATACAAGTAATAGTTATTATTAAAAGAAATCGAACAAAAAAAAATTCTTTTGACTTTTCAAAAGCAATGTGGTCTACAGATCATGTTAGAGCGCTGACTCAATGCAATATTGGAAACTTGCTCGAACAAACATACCTTATCTTTCTCCCTCTAGAGTCTAGACCCTATCTCAAAATCAGTATAGTTTAGCTGTTATGGCTACTATCACTACCGTACCCTGGCACAATCATAATCAGTCTCCACTACTTAATTTTTTTTTAATTTGAAATTTTGCTTCATTTGGCTCAAATACATACATTGATTTTTACATAAAGATTCAAATTGTATACACCTTCATTATGCTATCATATTATATTGTTTACATATATATGTACATTTGTTTCTAAATAATTAATATAAGTTTGAAAAGAGCTATTAAAAACATACTGCCATCTTGTACTTAATTTACTTGTATTTAATTACATGTTATTTAATTGTTT